AAACAAGTAGAAAATTTTGCTCCTAAGTAGTAGTATATTGGAACCGATTGGTTGTTATGATCATTCGTTTTATACGTAATTTTGGTAATATTTTTATTTGAAACGCATTTCTTAGATCCGAGTTATATAATTGAATTCACTAATTTTCATGAGCATTCAATTGCCGCGCCTTCTCTGATCATGCTTTTAAGTATCTGAGTTTGGAACGAAGAGGAATGGTAAGGTAGTGGAACAATAGTCTAATGCAAAATAAGAAATAATTCAGCAGTTATGTGATTTCTTTGTAGAGCAAACTATAAAATCTAAGCTGGTAACCTATAATATACTTGAAAAGAATGTTTTTAATAGTGGTTCATATGCCATACAATGATGAGTTTATAACCAATTTGACAGTTTTGATTATAAATGTACGATCTTCTTGAATAGAATGCTACTACTAGTCCATATTCTACTGGTTAAGAGTTATATTACGTTAAGAGAGGTTCTTTCATATAATGACCTCACATCTTCTATAAACAAAAAAGACTGTCAAAAACTTTATCTATCAATGCGTAGTTAGCTAACTTTTCTCTATTTTACAATCTACCTTGCTATTTTTTTTATTGTGTCTAGAGTTCGCTTCTTTTCTCTCATGTATGCCTTGGTTTTTCTTTTTTCTGCAAATACATATTCTACTAACACTTTTCTTCGTTCTGCATCTATCTATTCTCGTGCTCGCTTTATATTAATGTATCAATAATCGCTTTTTCTTCAATAAAATATTTATTCTATATGAGATCCTTCGTCTTGGTCTTGTTGTCTCTCGTTTTCTTTTGAGGCAAAGCTAAAGGAAAAGAGCCACATCGCCGCAAGTGTATGCACACGAAGAACAAAAACAAAAAGGAAGCCGCGCATGGTCATGAATGAAACAGAAAGAGATCGCACAAGCCAAGAAAGACTGATGCTTTGGATAACGACAGCCATGGATGGAAAATTTCTTGACAATAGCTTGCACATAAATATTTGTTAGGGTTGTCATTCCAACAGATCGAAAAAGCCGAATTCTCTTTCCACAAAAGCTAATATTTGTTTGCGAAAAATGTGGCGCTCAATACATGTAGGATTGATCTGGCATCCTGTATTCTACTCTTTCTCGCTAAAAAGATCATGTTGCATTATAACCGTTGTTTTGTCCATGATGTCTTCAACTTTTTCCGTTGGAAATTTATCAGGAAATTATTAGAAGCATTTTTCATCACTTAATTTTGTGCAATTTTCATATAAAGTTTTTAACCTCTCTGGTACTTCTTCCTTCAGGGCTTTCGAACAAAATTTTTTCTCACCTTTTTCCAAAACCATATGACCTAGACGCAACTTTTACGCCAATCACGAATATCATCTTTAAAATTGAGAAAAATTAAGTTCTGATGGTGAAAAGTTTGTGTTACTTGTAAATGCATTAAATAATTGTCTTTCAACATAATATTCTGTTTTCATGTGAAAACATTATTTTTTTATTTTTTTAAGGGCTCCCCCTCCCCCTCAGAAAAGTCAATTTTGGTCAAATTTATCGATTTTGTGATTTATAACTCATTAGATAGAGCAAAGTGTCTACTCTCGGATGCACTATAGTTGATTGGTTTTATGATGAGATTTAAGGATATTACATAGGTTTTTCTGAACCCCCCTATTGAGAAAAATAAGGTTTTTAAAAACTTATTCTCCGTTTTTCTCAAAATCAATTTTTTCGAGCATACTGTTTACGCGGGCAAACCTTACTCAATAACGACTCAATATAAAAGTGGTAATGTTTTTTTGTTATAGAGCAAACACTTGGGGCTAGGTCGTAATAGAGCCTGATTTTTGAATTTCTCCTTTGTTTAAATAAAAAACTTAAATCTTTGATTTTAATTAGCGATTTTTTGGTCACGAATTTGAGAATTTTTCGAAAATGTTTTTTTAAAAACCAAACAAAGGGAAATTCAAAAATCGGGCTCTATTACGACCTAGCCCTAGCGGTACTCTACAATTTAAAAACCACGCCGACATGCTTAGCTAGTATCCTCATGTTGAAAACCTTGCCCGCGTAAAGGGTATTTTTGACCAATGAATTGACTATAACTCGTGAATAGCTTGCAGATTTCTGGAGATATTTTAACCATAATCTATTCTAGCAAAGACTAACATTCTCTGAAATTTTGGTTGAAATCGGATGAAAAATAACAAAGTTGGTTTCTGGGGGGGGGGGGGGCTTAATATGCTGATGAATTTTTAACTGAGCAAACTGAATTATTATATACGATCTAAAATAAAAGGCAGGTTACTATTTTCTGAATAACGTTCTCTGAATACAAGATATAGGTCTTCAATTTTCGCCGTTCCAAGGAATCATATTGAGATCATCGATTTGTATAGCATTCATTAAGACGAAAGATGTTTTTTTGTAGGTGCTTTTGCATCAAAATTTTTTTCTTGCTATATTTTCATTAATTTTCACAATACTTTCAAACGCAAATTATATCAAAATATAGCTTACCTTACGCTTCTTCAGTCATAAAATTGTAAAATATTTCAATTTTATGGCTCAAATCCTTATTCTTAAGCGGATTTCCACAAAAATGTGATAGTTTTACATTGAAAAAAGAGGATGGATGTGGATGTGGGTGTGAGTGTGGATGTTGTTGGATGTCTTTCCCTTTTCTCTCACACCCACAACCATGAAAAATGACAGAACGGCTCGTATTTCTTTGACTGGGTCTGGAAATTTTTTTGGATCCGGTGAAGGACTCTAACCCATACCTACACCCTTTCTGGAATACCATTAAAAAGCCTCGTCTTATTTTTTTCTGTCTTGATACCGAAGTTTCACTCAAGTGCATTTTATGAGCCAATAATCAATCATTTTCATATTTCTATCGATGATACAGATTATCAAATATCACCAACTAGAACATCTCACAATATTTTTATGAGAAAAATTGTTATGCAACTATCTAATTTCATCATTATTTCAAAGAATCTTGTATCAGAATAGAAGGCTTATATTAAACTTCAATTTCTTATGCGTTTCTTTCGTCTATTAGATTAGAAGCTATTATACGTTGAATATTTTTCGTTTTTGTTGATGATCTGATAAAAAGACTTATGAAAAAATGTTTCCCACAAAATGAGAAGGGTACAGTCTAAGTTATCAGAGTAAACATCGAAGTTTTGATTTCATAAATTTTCTCAAGAGACTATGTAATTGTATTGGTTTTGTTGATTTATCTTAGAAGAACTAAAGCAAACCAAGAACAATACATACGTAATCTCTTTATACAGAAGCTAGAGAATATGGTATGGGTGTTGGTGTAAGTATAGGTATTCTTGAGATAAGAATCCATATCCACACACTCACACCCATACCTTACTTAGGCATTATGAACTTAGCCATTTTTCTACACATATTAGTCATCCTTGAACAAATAAAAGAGTGGATGATGAGAATCAGTTGATTTTAAAAAAAAATCATTTTCTAGCCTGGCCTAAGTAGAAAAGAACAATCATCGATGTGATAAAAGGAATATTTTGTAAAACAAAGAAAAATAAAAGTAAAATGAATTCTTTTATTCTATTTTGGGTGCGTGCGTGCGTGCGTGTGAATGGAGGTGGGCGCCACGAAGAACAAGACCTACACACCCACACCCTCTGTCATAGCTTTAATTGAAAACACAATATGAAATGTCTCAGCTCGCTTAAAAAACATTCAATACCGATTTGCTTCATTCAAATTTTACTTCTTTATATTAAGATCATCGAAGAATAAGTAATAATTGTATTTTATATGAATTTCTTGATACATTTTACTACGTCTTCTGAGTTAGAATTGTACGAATCTCTTGTAACTATCTGAATATTTTCCTAAGCTTTCATAATTCTAGTTCTAACAGATAATGTAAAATTTCGTGGGAAAATATCTGTCCATTTTTCTTATTCTGAAACATGTTATAGAAAAATTTTAAATCTACATTTGAAGAGCTTTCTCAAAAATTTTTTATCATCGCTGCCCTTCAATTAGTGAGTCCACACTAATATTCAGTCTGGAAAAATTTAGTAATGCAAAAATCTTCGTACAAATGTGACTTCATTTTTCGCATTGCTAAAACATGCTTTGAAATATTCTATTGACAATCTACATCTGACGAGCTTTCTAACAAGATGTTCAAATTTCTAAGTTTTAACGTTCGAGTATCGAGCACATCTTTCAAGAGCAGAAAAAATTTTAATCTATAAAATTTAAAGATAATACTTTCCAGAAAGTGTAAAAGTGGTTTACTAGAAAGTATTTTGATTTCATAAGTTTTTAGAATGGGCTATTCTCTAAGTTTATGGATACATAAATAGGATATATGGCAAATAGCCAGAACTTATCGTCCTTTTCGAAACATTTTTCCAAGAACTTTTGCATTATCTGTTAACTATGAGAAGAATATACAGATTTGTACTATAGAAAAAGTTTGTTCCGCACGACCCAATAAAATTCTAATTACTTGAAAGAAAAACATCTCAAATAATTATTATTGAGCTGCTTTTATTGAATCGATCATAGTTTCTATTATAATCTTCTTGATATTGAATTTTATCCATTTTCATCATATGCACAATTTGCTTTTTTTGCAAGATCACTATTATGCTTTATTTCAATACGATTACTTCATCTTTCAAGAAAAGTAGTCAAATGAAAAGAGACTGTAAAGAACAGAAGAAGTTTACTACAAATATCTGATAGAGCTCAAAACAAATCAGTATTTTTTAATTTTAGTTCGCTTCAATATATGTGTCTAAAGAATACAAATATAGGCTGAATTCAAATAACATTATATTATCATTAACATTTGTATATGAAATGACATCGAAGAAAAAATAAATTTCTGAATACAAGTATATTTCTTTTTTGTTTTTCTAGTTAAATCAATAAATAGTTGAAAAATGTTTCAATCAATTGACAATCATATTTATTAAATAAATAAAAACAAAAAACATTAATTCACTTGACATTTTTCATTTAATGGTTCATCAGATATTGGTTGTTGTTCTTTTTTATTTCTAATTTCTATTGGAATTTCTCGTACGATATTTTGAGAAATTTTTTCTTTAATAAGACCTTGCATTTTTCCTTTATTTTTTTGTTTTAAATCCATGTTTTTATAAGCATTTGAATTGATTGTTTTTGAAAAACCTTCTTCATAGAATTTTAAAATTTTTTCTATTTCAATAGCAGTTGGTCGTTTTTTTTGGATCATCTATACATCTTAAAATAATTTCATCATATAATATTGGACTTTTTTCAATTATAATTATACGTGATATTAATGCCCATGACAGAAAATCGTGAGCTTTTTCTGTGAACAATTGACTTAATGTAAGACTATATATATATATCTAATTTTTCATCAACTTTAGCAAAACCATTTAGTCCATCACGAAATTTTTTAAAACCTACTTGAGTATGTTGATAATTTGGATCAAGTACACATGCAATACCCATATCACCAATTTTAGCAATATAATTATCTATAATAAGAATATTATCAGGTCGTATATCACGATCTATCATACCATGTTGATGAGTACGTCTCATAGCTGATGCTATTTGTCGAGACATTATTAATTTACGTCTTAATGATAATTTATGTGGTTCATTATCAAGAACATCTCGTAAACTTCTACGTCTCATTAATTCCATTAATATCATATATTGAGTTTTTTGTCCATGATTATTTTGTATTGGTATATCACGGATAGCATAGGCAAATGTTCGAAGAATATATGAACCTGATAATTCACGATAGGCAGCTATTTCTTGAGGAAAACTTCGACGTAAATAATCTGATTCAGATGATTTATTAGATATTTCAATTATTTTACAAGCAACTGGAAGATTTTTTGAACGCCAAAATGCTTTATATACACGACCTGTTATTAACATATAAATATTTCTAAATTGTTAATTTGAAAAACTTACCAAATCCTCCTCTACCTAAAGTTTCTTCTAATTTAATATCATCTGGATCAATTTGTGGTATAATTTTATTTGAAGTTAAAATTAATAGATGATCTTTTTCATGATTTTTTATACATATATGTTTATCAATAGTACATATTTTACATAAATTATAATTTGGACATATATCACATTTAAAACGTAAACCAATTATTGTTTGTTGATGACAAATTTCATCACATTTTATACCATCATGTTTTTCATATTGTAATGTATCTAAATTTCTTAAATTATTTAAACTAACTTCATTATCAATATTATTAAATTGTATTCCGAAAACTGCATTTGATAATTTAAATTGAACCATAGCATGACCTGTAGAATGTTTTCCTGTTTGACGACGTCTTTCAAAACAACGTCTACATATATCATATGTTGGTGATATACATTCTAAACAACGATATCTATCAGTTCGACGAATAGGTTCCATTTCACATACAGCACATTTAACATTATGAACATCACTATTATCATTTGTATCAATAGATTCAACTTTAGTTAATATTTTTGCAAGAAAACTCATCAATAATAAATTATCAAGAGTCTCAGATATATTTTCTATAAATAAATTTATAAGTAAATATGAAATGGTAATAAGTTTTTTTAATTACTTTTATCTTGAGATTTTGGTTCATGAATTAGAAATTCTTGTAGAATAGATTCACAATGTTCTTTTGTATCTATATTTTATATATATTTTTCAAAATTGATTTTAACATTTTGTTTTTTTTTGAATTAAATTAAAAGAAATGAATATGAACTCGGAGAAAACATTTTAAGTTGAAGGATCTTGGCATTTTACTGTTATTTCAATTTTTCTTTACTACGAGAAATCATTGGAGAAATCTAGAAACTTTCTCATTCTTGGTATTATGTATCTTTCAGTATTTAATCATTAACTACTTGAAATTGAGTTTTACAAATTTTTTTTTTGTTCATGTTAGAAAGTTCAGTTCGAATAGTGGATTCTTTGAGTTTTAATGAGGGAAGGAAATGAAATAATCACTCACTTTTGAGTTGAGAATATTCCCATTATATTAGTATCAATGAGTTATAAATATTGTAAAAAAAAGTTCGAATCACTATCTTATTTTTAGGAAAATATTGAATTTTAAATGTCATAGTCCCCTATCAAGAACTCAAATTTTCATCTAAAATTTTATACAAAAATAGTTCTTATTGTGAAGATTTATGTCTATTCTAAAACGAGAACATTAAATCGTCTTGCATATCTGAATGAAATAATCATAGTTGTAACTAAGGATAGAGATACAGTAAGTATCAAAATTATTCAACAAGATTTATTTTT